GTGGAATTTTCTTAGTGATTATTAATACTTTAGATGCAACAAGAAATGTCCAAGATTGACCACTCACATAAACCAAGTCAGTGAAACTGTGCATGAAAAAGTCTGGCTGGTGCAAATTTACTTTTGGCTAGTGACATGAGACCTGTTAATAGCCATTACACTTGTGAACCAATACGTTAGTCTTGTTCTCTGGATACTTTTGAAAATAACACAATTTAACCTTACAACATTTTAACATCTGTTTTGATAGGCACCTGAAACATCTGCATGGCAGAGTAGTGCACATGGCAATTAAGAAACAAGTGCTCTGATTTCTCCTCAGTTTAGTTGTGTTGCTAGATGTTAGGCATTCTGTAATTCAAGAAGTTTCTGAGTTTTGTATTTCAATGAAAAAAAAGATGAGGAAAATAATTTACTTGATACAGGGTGAGCTTTTCTGTTGTGAGTTCTTTTGGAGTTGCAAAAATGCTTAAGTGGGGCCATAATTTCCTTTGCTCAGCTCAAGCACATGTGGTATTATGCAAATGCCAGTTGCCCAAGTTAGACTGTCACAAGTTCTAGAGCCTCTTGAAAGATTTCTTAACCATAGTATTCAAAAATCATTTGGCTCTTCACCAAGTTCTCAATTTGAAAGGGGGTTTTCAGGCTGCATCATACCATTAAGCCAGATTTGGTATGGCGACCAGTTTCTTTCTGTTCTTACACTGTGGTGGTTGAAAGCCTCAGTGAACTAGTAAAGAGCTCGATTTATCCTTGGTAGAAAAATAGGTCCACACTATGTACTTCTGTGTGCATAGCAGCCTTTTTGCTTTTTTGAATTTTACAGGTTGAGGAAATGAAACTGGGCTCTTTATTGGAAAAGGGCTTCTTCATCGGGATAGGGTGCTGTTTTTTGCCACCCGATCTGTACCCTGTCCCCAATAGTGTGTTTAGTCTTCTTATGAGAGCCTGTTAGCACCACTCTTATGTCATTCTGTACCGTTGTCACAGTGTTACGCCTTTTTTGATGAGAAATATGTTGAGTTATGAAAGACCTTTAGAGGAAGGAAGCCTTTTTGCATCAATGAAGGTCTTTGGTTTATTATATGCGAATTAAAAATATCGTGCTACATAAAATCCCTGGGTCCCGATTTTAGCCGAGTAGTTCTAAGAATGACGTGTAGTAACTATTAATGTGCCATAAACTAGGAGACATTTTGAATGAAGGGTGAATCCACAATGCTTATTTATTACCTGTTTTACCCATGACAGCGTGAGATAAGAGAGAGGGGATATTCACTGATTAAATTTGCAGGAGAAAGGCCAAATCTAACAAAGAAAGATATGCATTTGACGTAGAAATTATCAGATGATATTGTTATAGTTTTGTGTTTTGATGGACACAGTAGGTTTCTGAGTGAGAAGTTGTTGACCTCATTAGCTGTCTCTGTTTCCTCTTTGTGTTGCACTGAAGTTGATAAGATCTTGTAAAGAAAACAAGATGCTGAAAGCAAGAACCTGGGAGACATGAATTGACCCGGTCGACCTTGTTAAAGCACTTAACCTTGTCAACTCTATTAAACACTTTTCAAAGGCAAACTTCTTAACCTCACCTTAAAACACAATGACATTCGTGCCATCACAATTGGAATAATTTGAGGAATTTTAATTAGAAAATAGTATTTTGGTTATTTGGAGTTATTTGATATATCCAGTTTGTTGTGGCACGTGTTTTACCTTGAAGTTATTCTGGAAGCCACTTACAAGTAATTTTAGATAGTGTTTCCCTTTAGAGCGTGTACATTTAGTTGGGCTGCGTGTTCATTTCATGCATGCTCTAATTCACAGAAAATGATGGTTGGATCAATGCAATACGTGAAAAATTGAAGGGTTTAGATTTTCCACCACAGCATTTGTTTGCCTTATAAGTAATGGAATATACACACTGTAGCATATCATTTGTGTCAACCAAAGCATCACTTCATTCCACATTTCGTTTTGTGTAACAACTTGTTTCAATTCTCGCATGAGAATTAACATCTTGGCTCCA